TTGTGCTGCCCGTTGTGGGAGCGAGGGCTGACGGTCATCTGCAGGACCCGTCTCCTCCTGCTCCCCCGGGGACCCCCCGAGTTCATAGCATCATAGAATCACAGAATGGTTTGGGTTGGAAGGGACCTGAAAGATGATCCAGTTCCAGCCCCCCTGCCATGGGCAGGGACACCTCCCACCAGACCAGGTTGCTCCAAGCCCCATCCAGCCTGGCCTTGAACCCCTCCAGGGATGGGGCAGCCACAGCTTCTCTGGGCAACCTGTTCCAGTGTCTCACCACCCCCACAGCAAAGAATTTCTTTCTGGTATCTAAAAAGTTTGCCGAAACCAGCCCATTGCAAAGATGGAGGAAAAGGCGGGGCTGGGGCGAGGGGGAGCTGTGTCTACAAACCCTTGTGTTTGGGTGTCCCTCGGCAGTGGGAGCTCACAGGGTGTCCCGTGTCCACCTCTGCAGCACCAGCCGAAATAATTTCGGCCACTGGTGAGGCCTCACCTTGAGTGCTGTGTTCAGTTCTGGGCCCCTCACTACAAGAAGGACACTGAAGTGGTGGAGCGTGTCCAGAGGAGAGCCACCAAGCTGGTGAGGGGTCTGGAGAACAAGTCATAGGAGGAGAGGCTGAGGGAACTGGGCATGTTTAGTTTGGAGAAGAGGAGGCTGAGGGGAGACCTCATTGCCCTCTACAACTACATGAAAGGACGTTGCAGAGCGGTGAGTGTTGGCCTCTTCTCCCAAGGCCATAATGGCAGAAGAAGAGGAAGTGGTCTGAAGTTGCAGCAGGGGAGGTTTAGATTAGATATTGGGAAGAATGACTTTCCTGAGAGAGTGGTCAGGCACTGGAACAGCCTGCCCAGGGAGGTGGTGGAGTCACCATCCCTGGCACTTCAGAGCATGCTCTAGTGCTTGAGATTGTTGGTTTGTGTCTGTTTGTGGGTTTGTTTGTTTTTTTTGTTGGTGTGGGGTTTTGTTTGTTTGTTTGTTTAAATTGTGGTTGGACTCAATGATCTCAGAGGTCCCTTCCAACCATGAAGATTCTGTGATTTTGTGATTCTGTGATTGCTTTCTGTGCTGATACCGCACTGCCAGCAAGGGCATCCAGCCGGAGACCCTGCCACCCGGCACAGGAGGGAGGGCTGGGGGGGCACTGCCGGCTGTCTCAAGGGCTGCAGGAACCCCCCAGTCATCCATCGGAGGGGACACGGCTTGCTGGGGTGGGGGGGGACACCTGTGGCAGAGGGATTAGCATTTTACAGCCGGAGTCACACCGCCTCCGCCAGCAAATCCTCCCCCGGGGAATCGTGTGTGTGTTTGGAAACGCCGCAGAGCTGCTGGTAGTTTGCAGTTTTCAAATATGGATTAGTTTTCACGTGTAGGTCAGATTCCCTCCCAGAAACAGACCTGCTTTGTAGCGTGCGTGGAACTGATTTCATTTGCCCCCCCTTTTTCTTTGCTGTGTTTGTTCATCTTTCGTTTTTTTTTTATCCAACTTGTCTTACATTCCCTTTGGTTTTATGCTTTAACCACCGTATCTCTTCTCTTTTCCATATATTTCCTTCCAGTGAGGATAATTTGCTCCTTCTGCCCAACCATACTGCCATGGTGACCATATTTTTTAATGTCTTCGTGAGAGAAATAAGACTTGTGTGAGTGTATAAAACCATACTATCTATAGTCAGAATTTATTTAGGAAAAGAAATCCAGTTATTTCCCCCGAAATAAATGATACAGATAAAAACATCTTGGGAAGGTAAATCCAGAAGTTATACAGGCACAGAGGATGCTACAGGAAGCAAGATGTGGACATTTGAGAGGCTCCCTGGGGTGCTTAGGTATGGGACATCTGTCCTGTGGCACCATCAGCCTGCAAACTGGATATACAGCTCATGAATCTGCAGCTGATGTGCTTTTAAAAAATACCTGTTGGGAATGACTCATAGAGCAGATGCAAGTATCCACTCGTGCATACTGGAACAGCAACACAGTTCAGATCTAGTCTAGTCCTGTTCTTCTCAACAGGGCCAAACAGCAGTAACAATTTGGTTTTTTGGCCCAAGGTTGTGTCCCACTCTCCCTTGATGCTGTGGCCGCCTCCTCTTTTGCAGTTCTCAATTCATTATGTGGAGCATATTAGTATGGAGCATTGATCAGGTGAGTGAGCATAAGTTGGCTCATTTAGTATAGGGAAATAAATGTAGATACGCATGGGGCTGGAGAATGCCCTAATAAACCTTTTCTGTAGCCCTTCAACAGCTGAGATAGAAGCTCGGGTCTGAAAACGGTCTTGGCATCTTGGCCTAAGCACAGGTGAGACAGGACTGTGGCTGGAAGATATCTTCATCCAACGAGTTCCCTCTACAGAGATCCCCCATCACTGTCTCTAGGGTCACTACCTTCAGAGGGCTGGAGCTCAGCCTCGCACTGAAGGGATATGAATGCCAGTTTACCTGGAGCTGGGGGAGTAGCAGCTGACTGATACTGTAAATCCAGCTCTGGAGCTCATACCACTGGGTCAGAAATGCTATGGGTTCCTACCTCAGAGCATTAGAATCATGGAATCATTCAGGTTGGAAAAGACCCTTGGGATCATCGAGTCCAACCACCAACCCTACTCTACAAAGTTCTCCCCTACACCAAATCCCCCAACGCCACATCTAAACGACTCATTGCCAAACTCATTTTCATGAGCAAGTTAATATTTTGGCAGAAGAGGTTGTCTTGAATTTGATGTTTATTTTAGGTGCTCTTCTGCCCTCCTGCAGCTGGCTCAGACCTGGGTCATCTGTGTTCTGGTGAATCCTGTGAAGTGTCACTGAGTGTTGCTGTGTTGTTCTGCTTGTGCCTGTGGGCCTCAGCGAGGTGCCAAGGTGCAGGCTTTGGATTAATCAACAGGGAACCAAGGCCTGAGCCCCATTTCCCCTCAGAGGTTGTTGCCCTAGGAGCCATCATGCTGGAGCGGGTCCAGAGAAGGGCAATGAAGCTGGTGAGGGGTCTGGAGAGTAAGTCTTATGAGGAGAGGCTGAGGGAGCTGGGGGTGTTCAGTCGGGAGAAGAGGAGGCACTCTATAACTACCTGAAGGGGGGTGTGTGGAGAGGCAGGGGCTGGTCTTGTCTCCCAAGTTAGAGGAGATAGGACAAGGGGAAATGGCCTCAAGTTGTGCCAGGGGAGGTTTAGATTGGATATTAGGAAAAATTTCTTCATGGAAAGGGTTATCCAGCATTGGAATGGGCTGCCCAGGGAAGTGGTTGAGGCACCATCCCTGGAGGTGTTCAAAAGACGGGTTGACATGGTCCTCAAGAATATGATTTAGTGATTTTTTTATTGCTTATTTCTTATTTATTTTTTGTCAGTTAGGTTGATGGTTAGACTAGATGATCTTTAAGGTCCCTTCCAACCTAGATGATTCTATGATTCTATCATTCTCTGTCAGAGAGAAGGCAGGTAGAAACCCCTCCCTTGTATTCAGTTGAGTTTCTCTGGCTTTTCTCCTGAGCAGGCACCTTTGATATTTTTTTTTGTTGTTGTAGTAAATTTGAACACTTCTCAAGTTAGTCATATGAGAACCCTCCTGCCCTGCAGCCCTCAGTGCTTGGCTCCGAATAGCCTGCCCCCTGTAGCGTGGTCACAGCTCACAGTCTGGACCCAAGATGCCATGTTTGTGGAAGAAAGAGGTTCAAGAAAGAACAACAAAAATTAGACCCTCATTCATATTAAAATACAGTTTTCCTTTCTCTTGACTCTTTAGGGGAGCAGGTCGAGAAAGGGACAAAGCTTCTCCCTCCCATTAACCACCCCGGTCTCTCAATCACCTGAGAATTACTGGATGATGTGGCCCTTTGTTAGCAGTGGAGAGGCAGACTGGGACAGAGGAGACATGGCACAAAACCAAGAGACTCCCTGAAAAGGCAAGAAAGCCAGAGTGTCAAAAAGCAAGTGGGAAGCAGACCGGTGAGCCAACCCAAATTTCTGGGGTTTGACGGGTCTGTTCTTTCTTTACCGAGCTTTTCTCCCTGCCTGCCACCTACGTGATGCTGGAGTGGCACAGTTGTAAGCACTCATCTCAAGAAGCATTTCCCACTAGTGCCCATCAGCAGGAATACGAAATAGCGTGCCCAAGGGAAGACTTGGAGCACAGGATTGTGCAAAGGTTACTGCAAAGGAGCATGTGTGTGTCCTGGGGTACACACAGAGATTGTGTATATTGAGAAAAACCCTTCCAAGCATCCTCTCTGCTCGAATTCTCCCCTTATTCCCTTTAGCCACAGTGTGGTTGTTCCTACATGCTCAGTTAGATGTCTTTTTATTAGAAGAAACCAGAAATGGGCACAGAGATGAATATAAGAAGTTCCACCTAAACATGAGGAGGAACTTCTTTCCTGTGAG